AAAACTTGCCATACCCCTTCTTGCAAGTCTCTTAGCACCGATTTCTCAGCTGATTTGGTCTTCTTTGCTTGCATCATACTCAAATTCAAGGCTCCCTCTTCCATCTGAGAGAATGAGTTGCCTCACCTCCAGGCCCTCTTTTTTTTTTTTTTTTTTTTTTCCCAGAGACAGAGTCTCACTTTGTTGCCCTCGGTGGAGTGCTGTTGAGTCACAGGTCACAGCAATCTCCAGCTCTTGGGCTTAGGTGATTCTCTTGCCTCAGCCTCCCAAGCAGCCCCTCTTTCTTGACTTCAGTCCTTTTTCCTCTTACAAACACCCGGCGAGGCTGCACCTACGCCCCCCTCTGTGTGGTGCACCCCGCAGAGAGCACTTCAATCAAACGCAAATGATTTTCTTTCTTGAAGCCAAGCCAATTGCTCTGTGTTCACCATTATAGGCAGATACTTGATACAAACGGGGGAAAAAAAGACAATGAAAAACAATGGCAAGAGCAACTAGCCAATCAGTGTAACGTCCCTCTCTCCCTGTACAATCAGCCCCAGCTGTAGGCTCTTTATCTCCAGAGTTCATAGGATAATGCTTGCGCATAATTAACCCAAACAAACTCACTTTTGTGAAAAACATTTTGAAGACTTCAGCACAAAAGAGCACTTTTGGTCCAAATCCCATACTATTCTGAATTTTTAAAAAGATAAACACAGAAGCTTCATCAGCAGTACCCTAATTAAACTCATCAGTTCACAGATGTTTACAGGAAAATGATCAGCGAAAATTTTCACCAAGAAATCCTGTTTCCTGGAAGAGGGAAGGATGATGACAATAGTGATAGTGATAAAAGCTGACATTAATTAAGGACTTTAATGTGCCTGCCACTTTGCATAAACCAATGCATTTAAAGCAATACCCTTTCAGGCAGTGACCATTCTCATTCCTATTTTACAGATGTCAAAACTGAGGCTTAGAAGGTTAAATCAATTTCCCAAAGGCACACAGCTGGGAAGTGCCAGGCTCAAATCTCTATCTGTGTGACTCAAAGTCATTTTCTTGTAATTGCTACCTTCTGTTCCATGACTAAAATCTATGTACATATTTCAATACTTAGTCAGCAAATAGAAACAGAACTACCACTATTTTAAACTACCACTATTATTAGCCCCCCAACTCTCTTCCCTCACTTCTCACCTCTACCCTTTCTTCAGCTTTAGCACTAGCTATATCTCTCTTTCACGGATAACCTAATGAACTTTGGACCTTCTGTACCCTTGGAATAGATACAATGAGACCTTGTTAGAAATAGAACTTTGGTGCCACTTATAATCTAATCCAGTTAGTGGCCTTTTTTTTTTTAAATTGACTTGTCCTCTCCAAATGTTGTTTGTCTTCTGGTTTTTGTTCAATGCGATGTTTCAGGGGGGCCGTAGTTACACTATTCAGAGCTGCCTTAAGCAATCTTTTTTTAGAGAAAACGTCCACTTCCATATACATTTTAAGTCATGGAATATGACCATTATTTGTAAATATTTGTTATCTAGGCACAAGTGGTACTGCTCTAAAATAAGTGATTAATCAAAGATATAAAAAGGATTTGAAGAGACGGTAAGCTATATTAAGCCACTTTCCATTTTACTTATTTTTTCTGACTAGTCAGTGTGTCAGGATGATGCAAGATACTATCACTGCTGGATTGAGCAACAAGTATAATGATTACTCAAGCCTCTATATTACTTTGGAATTCATGTTACTTTCATGTGTAAACTTAGGAGGAGACATTTTTCCCCTACCAGGAGAAAGAATAAATGACTTAATCTCTGACTTTTAAAGAACCACCAGAGAAATACAGTCTCATTTTCCTGTCTTAAGGGGTTTTCTGATCCAAGTGATGACTTTGCCAATTGGAGACAGTGAATCTCTTTGTTTCACATTAACCTTTATAAATGTCAGTTTTTCTCATCTGTAAAAGGGGCCTAATTATTAGTGTCTATCTCATGTAGCTATAGTGAGGATAAGTTATATGATTCATTTCAATATATGATACAGTATTCCCAAAATATATGACTTGTGTATTAAATAGATATTAGCTTTTAGTAGTAGTAGTATTGTTTTTATTTATTATTAAAAGCTGTCATTATCAACTTTGTTCTTCACACCTGTAGTCCCTGTATCCTCCCTATCCACATTATACCTTTCCATTTATTCTACAAATAGCTATGTTCTATTAGAATGTGGTTCTTTGTTTGCTTGCTTGCTTGCTTGCTTGTTTTGAGAGAGAGTCTCACTTTACTTGCCCTCAGTAGAGTTCCATGGTGTCATAGCTCACAGCAAGCTCAAATTCTTGGGCTTAAGTGATTCTCTTGCCTCAGCCTCCCAAGTAGCTGGGACCACCAGTACCCACTACAAGGCCCAGATATTTTTTGAGATGGGGTCTCACTCTTGCTCAGTCTGATCTTGAACTCCTGAGCTCAGGCAATCCACTCATGCTGGCCTCTCAAAGTGCTAGGATTATAGGTATGAGCCACCACCACACCCAGCCTCACAACATGAGTTTTGTGAAAGTGAGGACTTTGTTTATCTGGAAGAAGCAGTGTAGCTGAATGAGAGTGTGGCCTCTGGAGCCAAACTTCCTGGCTTTGAATTCTTCCTCTGCCACTTATTGGCTCAATGACTGGGAAAGTTTCTTAACCTTTTAGAGATGTACTTTTTTAATCTATAAAATGAAGGTAATTATAAAAACTACCTTATAAATTATTGTGAAGGTTTAATTGTGTTGGTATAAATAAAATACCTTAAAATAATGTTTGGCATTCTTATTGTTTACCATACCTCCAATACCTAGAACAGTGCCTGACACATAACAGGTATGCAGCAAACATTTGATCAAAGAATAAACAAATGCCAGATACCAAAGTACAAAATGATTTAAGAAAATGATACTTGGGTGGGGCCTGTGGCTCAGTGAGTAGGGCGCTGGCCCCATATACCGAGGGTGGTGGGTTTGAACCCAGCTCCTGCCAAACTGCAACTACAAAAAAAATAGCCAAGGCAAGAGAATCACCTAAGCCCAAGAGCTGGAGGTTGCTGTGAACTGTGACACCACAGCACTCTACTGAGGGCCAAAAAGTGAGATTCTGTCTCTAAGAAAAAAGAGAAAATGACAGTTATCTAGAAAAGAAATATAAAGACCAATAAAGAGACTGCCAGTTTAATGGGGAGCTCTTAGTCAGCATTTGAACACTTCAGTCTGGTTCAGTTTTCTCCAGTTCCAGAGTCTTTAACCTGGACTACACTATCAAGGAATAACTAGCCCATAACAGTTAAATAACGATGTGGGGCAAAAATAATAATAGTAAAAGAGAGCAGTGCTCCAAGGCATTGTACAACTGAAGTGCTAGTTAGATAAGACAGAGAATTTGTGCTTTGGAATTGAATCCAATGCTCTTGGCACATTTATTTTAATTCCACAGCATTTTGGCAGAAAATAACAAAAACATCACTACATTAAAAATATAGTAGCTAAAATAAATCCAAACATATATGATCAACTAATTTTTGATGAAGAAATCATGAGAACACAATGGGGAAAGATAATCTCTTTAATAAATGGTACTGGGAAAATGGGATTTGCACACACAAAAGAAGGAAATTAGACCCTAATCTTCCACCATACACAAAAATCAACTCCAAATGGACAAAGGCCTAAACATAAAACCTTGAAATCATACAACTTCTAGAAGAAACATAGGGGAAAGTCTCCTTGGCATTGGTGTATCCAATAATTTTTTGGATACCACATCAAAATCTCAGACTACTAAAGCAATATATGACTACATAAAACCTAAAATCTGCACAGCAAAGGAAACAATCAACACAGTAAAACAACTATGTATAGACTGGAAAAAATATTTGCAAACCATATATCTAATAATGGGTTAATATCTAAAATGTATAAAGAACTTGTATAATGCAATAGCATGTATGGAAAAATGAATAACTTGATGAAAAATAAACAAAGGACTTGCATAGAAATTTATCCAAAGACACAAAAATAGCCAATGGGTATCTCCATCTCTAATCATCAGAAAAATACTAATCAAAACCCCCATGAAATATCACTTCACACCCATTAAAATACCTTTCAACATTTTAGCAAATGTTGGTGAGGGTTTGGAGAAATAGGAACACTTGTAAACAGTTAATGGGAACACAGACAGTGTGGCCATTACAGGAAACAGCATAGAGGCTTCTAAAAAGATTAAAAACAGAATTACCCTACGACCCATCAATCTCTCTTCTGGTTACATCCTCAAATGTGATGAAATCGCCACTTGCAAACACACCTGCACTGCTATGTTCATTACAGCATTATTCACAATAGACAAGCTATAGAAAGGATCTATGTGTCTGTCAATGGATGAAGAGATGAAGAAAATGTGGTGTGTGTACATACACCCATACACACAGTGGAATATTATTCAGCCATTAAAAAGGAAGTCCTGTCATTTGCCAAAACATAGATGAAAATAGAGGACATTGTGCTAAGTGGGATAAGCTAGACACAGAAAGGAAACTATTTCATGATCTCACTTATGTGTGGAATCTTAAAAAGATATCTAAGTAGGGAGATTATAGATAATTTTTATTTTCCTCTTCCCTTCTTAACTTTTGTTCAATGTCTAGGTATTATTTTTTATAATCACAAAAACTGTAACATAATGAGACAGAATATCATTTATTTCCTTTTTCTACAAATACTTTTCTGAATTTCATTATATTACTTTCTCATAAAAAAGGAGTGGCAACCTTGTTTTATAGGATTTCAATGACCACATCTTATCCGCTTTGACTAATGCCATTATTATATTATTTTATCAAAGTGTGATCTAGTTACTAGACAGTAATTATTACAATTTAATCTTTAAATGACATCAGAATTTTAGGTATCTGAATAGTCACTTCAGATGCATAGATTTAACTCTAATGTTGATTTTTTTTCCCCATTTTAGGTAAACAACTACAGTTTAGAGGAAGTAACTCATGAAGAGGCAGTAGCAATATTGAAGAACACATCAGATGTAGTTTATCTAAAAGTTGGCAAACCCACCACCATTTATATGACTGATCCTTATGGTCCACCGGATATTACTCATTGTAAGTACCACACTAGTGTCATTAAATAGCATGCCAGGTCTGCAAAATTGGAATTGTATAAAATTATTGACAACATCTTCTGGTTGCACTATTCCTTTTGTTAACTTCTGGAAATGTGTCAGAGAGAATATCCCGTACTTTACTTTCATATTGCCTTATAGGCCCTCACCAAGTGCTTTGAAAGAGAGCCATCCTGACTAGTTGGAGGGTTCACCATTATGGGAAGGCTTGATGGTATATGTTGCGGACAGTGTAATTACAGTAGTACATGGGTAATGCATTTTTATTTATTTATTTATTTTTTGAGACGGAGCCTCAAGCTGTCCCCCTGGGTAGAGTGCCATGGCATCACGCTCACAGCAACCTCCAACTCCTGGGCTCAAGCAAGTCTCCTGCCTCAGCCTCCCAAGTAGCTGGGACTACAGGTGCCCGCCACAACGCCTGGCCATTTTTTGGTTGCAGCCATCATTGTTGTTTGGCAGGCCTGGGCTGGGGATTCGAACCCGCCACCTTAGGTGTATGTGGCTGGCGCCTTAGCCGCTTGAGCCACAGGCGCCGAGCCGGTAATGCATTTTTAAAGGCTACTTCTCAAGCACCTAAAGCATGATCATGCTCATGCCATGAAATCCTTCTGCCTAGTGCAGATCTATGTAGTAACAGAATAGAAAGGAGAGAATAGCAAACTAGATCCAAATAGGTCTGTGCTTTTTCCTAGAGAGGAAATCTTACACTTGAATGGCAAAATCATGACCATCAATCACAATCATAACTTTTACCTTTACCCAAATTTATTATATTGGCAAGAAAACCAAAGAAAATTATCAGTCACTGTGGCAGCAGAGGTGAACTGGACAGGGGGGCTTCTGGGGCAACCACTAGCAATTAACTAATGAGACCTTGTACTGGGGTCCCCACCAAGTTCACTGCTGCATAAGCCCCTGGTTTCTCCTCTTCCTGATAGATCAACAGCAACTTCATCTAAGGTTTTGTTTGAGAGGGGGCTAGATTTAGAAGTAATTTACTGTTTATATAACTTTTAAGGGTCAGTTTTGTCAAAATCACTTAGCTTCCTTATTCTTAGATTTTTGAGATTCCACTTATGAGACTGAGAAAGTATGTCCTCAGGGGGTTGCCATTAATTAGTACTATGATCTTAAGCAAGTTGTGTAGATTTGGATGTTTCTCTTGAGACAAATTTAAGGCTGAAAATTTTCTTACCCATCCATTACATTAGTTATTTCTTTCCTTACTGATGATTCTAAAACACCTTGCCCCCAAAATATATTTTTTCTCAAGTACATGGTAAGCTGAGATTGGCCTTACCATAGGATATGAAAGCATTTTAACTTTCAGAATTTTTCAAACTGGATGAATTTAGAAAAATCATCCATGAGAGTCAGTGAGCCACTTTATAAGGGCATATAGGGTCAAGGTCAAAGAAGGAAAAGGAAGAAAACAAAACGCTCAAATCAATTCAAAAAGTATGTATTGGGTAACTTCAGTCTGTGCAAGACACCTTGTAAGGTAATATGTGGGACGCAGAGGAGATACAATCATGGGCTTCAAAGAGCTTGGTTGGAAAGAAGAATAAGTAAAATATATAAATAGCAGCAATATTTGGCAGAATAAGAGGTATGTATATGATATGGGTGATGTAAAAATAAATGTTCTTTGGGGATTCAAAGGAAGGAGAAATATCATCTGTCTTTGGAAAATCAGAAAAATCTTTATGCATAGGATAGATAGCATTGGAACTGTACGGTGAAGAATGGGTGAGATTTCAACATGTCTCCTAACCATAAATTATAGACAGTTGGTATAGCAGAACAGAAAGGTATGGATGTCCCAGAGCACAAGCTATGTTTGAGGACCAAAGGATCTGTGTTAGGAAATACTACGCTGGATCGATTTTGTAAGAATAGCAAAGAGGAGATTTTATACTATATTCAATACACAGTGGCAATTGAGAGCACGTAAGTAGGAGAACAGCACGATCGGAGCAGAATTTCAGGAGAGTTACTTCATCTCAATTTGAATTTGAGGAGAGAGAGAGGACCAGATCCAGTTCTCACATAAAACAGCGCTAAATTCGAGAGGAGGAATGGAAAAGAAAAGCCAGAGTTCTTGGCCTTTCTGGGATGAGAATACAGCATATTTGGGGGAAATGTCTCATACAAGAACCTACTTCTTCCGAGCCTTTTGATTTTGATGATTAGATATTAATTATGTGAAAAGAAAGTGAGCTCTGCAATTAGGAAGCTCGCATTTTATTTCAATAGAAAATTAATCATTGTTCTGAAAATGTGTGCGCTGGATCTCCCCTTCAGCTCTTCTCTTCACCTAATTATACGTGCGAGGGTTACAGATTGAACTGTTATTACATCGTTCTCCTCCTAAAGGTCACCACGTGCTTGTATATATTAAATGCAAACAAACAGCAACTCCCCCCTCTTGGAGGACAAGAAAGCCCTTGGCATGTAGAAAAGCCTTTCTATTTTTAGCACATTCTCTAAAGTATAGCATGACACTTGAATCACTCACATAACAGGTTTCTTTTCTTTTTCCTTTTCTCGCCCCACCCCCACCCCTTAGCTTACTCTCCACCAATGGAAAACCATCTACTCTCTGGCAACAATGGCACTTTAGAATACAAAACCTCCCTGCCCCCCATCTCTCCAGGAAGGTATTCACCAATTCCAAAGCACATGCTTGTTGAAGACGACTATACAAGGTCAGATATGCTCTTTGGTTAATTGGGTTTGCTTTTATTACCAGGAAGAAATCAGGTTTGCTTAACATGTCAAGTGTTGTTTGGGGACTAACTAAAGCTTCTAAGTGCCATTCAAACTCATTCTAGCCTTGCCTCAAGTGGAAATCTGCAAATAGTTGCAAACATATGTCATTGTCCTCTGTTAAGAAGCAAAATCACAAATTCTTTCTGGAGAAATAGTGTTGTATCACTTATATGTCACTTTGCAATGTATTGAGACTTTTCATACCTGATGAACTTTACAGCCATACTATAAGATAGGTCTTATCACTAGAGGAGAATAAAGTGCTGAAATTCAGAAGAAAGAAAATAACATACAAATACCACATGTCTGATTAGTGGAAGTCAGGAGCAGCACTCTAGTCTTTTGACTTGAAATTCCATGTTCTTGCCACTAATTGCCACCCACAATTCAATGGAAGTTAGTAGTCAGTCAATATCCCCTCTCGTGCGATAAGTATAGGCGGGAAGGAATGGAGAGAACTTAACTCCGAATGGCTTGAATTGAATATGTCCTGTTAATTCCAAAGTGGAACAGGGCAAGATTCTAGGACAGAACACAGAACCACATTGCTACCCACAAGTAAAGCCAAATTTAGTAAGCACTCCTCTGAAAAAGCCAAATTGGGCAATTCACAAACACCAACTTAAGTAGTCATTAGTAAGTATTCAAAAAATATCAATGATGAGTGAATGAATGAATGAATGGGTGGGTGAATAATGAAAAATGTACATTTTTTTCTTTTATCTATACATACTTTTGTTTCAAAGTAATATATATTAATTATATTTGGGAAAGAAATGTAAAGATGATGAAGAAACAGAAATCTCCCCCCCAGCTCCCTACAGAGTGACCTGTCTTGTGGCACCTAATATGACAGCGTGGCATAAACTTTCATACCTTCCCGTGTTCTTGCTGACGTATCCAAATGCATGTTTAGATATGGGTGGGGCTCTGTGTACACAAAATAAATTCATACTTTACACATTGCTCTGCAACTTGATTTTCCTTCACAAGTAATACATTTTATCAAAAATGAGCTTACATGTAGATATGTACGCGTTATTTCTGTGCGTGTTTGTGTATAAAAAATGATAGAGATGGACTATTTTGATTTTATATCCTTCCTGTTTAACTGAAACCATTTGTCAGCCTTTACAAAAGTAGAGAAGACTTCCTGCTGGTTAACTTTCCTCACTGGTACGTGTGCGTGCTTTGGCCGTTTCGTTCTTTGGTGTGTCTTTTTAAATGATTAAGCATTTTCCATTTATTTTGCAATATCAGGTTTGCTGAAGTAGCTTGTTATATCTTTAGCCAAGGATGGAATGTTTGGATGCTGAAAATGTGCATCTGTGGTGTAAATCAAATATAAACTTCTGCCTATGCTGAAATGTCTGATCTCTCTGCTCTTAATTAAAATGAGGCCTGCAGCAAAGATAATCCACACGGCTCTCTAAAGAATTCTGTAAATAAGGCACCTTTATCCACCAGAGCAATGATCTATTTGCTTTCATCCTATTACTAATATTTGATAGGATTTTAATTTGAAAATGTCATTTTATCTTACTAAGCCCTCAGTGAATTCATGTTTATTAAAGCCTGCTCATAATCCAGGCCCTTTGCTAGCTGCTTTACCTGCCCTATCCATTTAATCCTCCCAAAAGCAGAGAGAGAAGGGCTTTCATCCCCATTTTAGAGATGTAGAAATTGATGTTCAACAAGGTTAAGGACTAGTTTATGGTCATACACCTTTTATGTACAAAAACTGAGTGCCCTGACAGCTTTAAAATCCTAGTTTAAAAAGGATATTTTAATTTTCTCTTTATTTTTAAAGTGAAAGTCAAGTCATATATAATAAAACTGTGGCTAGAAAGGAACCTGAGAGTTTTGGTGAGCTCTAAAGACAGCTAGCCCAGACTTGCCGTCTACCTCTCCTGTTGGCTGGGTAACCCTGGAAAAACCATGTAACCCTCGTAAGCCTCAGTTTTCTCATCTGTACAAGGGAACACACCTAGTCATTGAATCTACTCAATAGATTGCTGTAGTGATTAAATTGGGCGATGAATGCAAATACTTAGAACAGCGTCTGGCATGTAATACTCAATGAATGTTACCTATGTATAGTAACTATACTTACTGTAATTCTTAATCTGTTCCAGATGTCACATGAAATGTTTTTACAGATGATATCCCGGTACCCTAGGGAAAAGCTCAATTTCTTTCTATGGTAATAGGCTTCAGTATCTCACTTCCCGCCCCTGCCTCCTCCCCTGTACCCTGCAGAGCAATCTCACTAATAACCTGAATAAAATAGTCTGAATGGTTGGTGCCTGGTAAATTTGTGAAGTAAATTATATCAGTTCACACACAGACACAGGCACACCCGCCTTCCACTGCTCTCTCACCACGGCCGATGTCCTCTCACCCGCACTTTGTGCTGTAGGCATTACCGTGAGTCTTGTTATCAGAGGTGTTGCCCAGATGCAGATTCATTGGTTCATTCACAAATATTACCTGACTACTTCCGACAGTAGGCACTGCACGAGAAATGCAAAACTGAATAAGAACTAGCATCTAAGAACTATCAAATTAGGGCAAAAATATATTAAACCATTGTATTGCCCAATGCCTATTCCCTGATGATATAGACCCACCCCTCCATGAAGTTTTGCACATGTATTTTCCTTATTTATTAAATTTTCAAATTCTTAAGGGTATATATTTTGGTGCCAAAATGTCCTTTCTTTTGTAAAAGAATTGTGATAGTAAATACAGTTCTTTATTTTGTCCTTATTTAGAAGATAAAATCTTGGCCACTTTTTATTAGTCCTGATATATTTTTTTCTAATATTGAAGGTTTATAAACTCCCAACGTCTGCGAGCTACCAACAGAAACAAACAGAACTACAGGCTGTTTGAAGACTGTATGAAATGCCCTTATGTAGCCCTAGCAGAGTTTCCTAATACCATAGAAGTTACTTAAGAAATACTCATAAATGAATGTGAGTTTTAGATGAATTCCACAGAAACAGTGATGGCACCAAAGAAGGTTTCAAAAAGGAAATGTCTCTTGAGTTTAAATTCAAAAACTGTCTAGGCACTGGTCACAGAGTCAGAAAAGCAGGATGGGCATTTGCGGTAAGGGGATAGATTGTGCAGACCCAAGAACATCAAATAAAAGAGAAACAAATACTAAGGTTTAAAATGAAAGACTGATAAAGAAAATGATCCCTACCTTTAAATAATCTTTCTATGCCTACCCTTTCTTTCATATGCAACCTAGCTATAAGATTAAAAATACATAGAGTAGGAGGCAATTGTAGGTCAGTAGGCAGGGTGCTGGCCACATACACCAAGGGTGGTGGGTTCAAACCTGACCCAGGCCAGCTAAAATACAATGACAACTGCAACAACAACAACAACAAAAAAAAAATAGCCAGGCATTGCAATGGGCACCTGCAGTCTCAGCTACTTGGAAGACTGAGGCAAGAGAATTGCTTAAGCCCATGACTTTGAGTTTGCTGTGAGCTGTGATGCCACACCACTCTACCCAGGGCAACAGCTTGAGACTCTGTCCCAAAAATAAATAAATAAATAAAATAAAAAATAAAAATACATAGAGTAGTAAAAACAAAAGGATTGCTATGATGCACCATTAACACAAAGGGCTTCAATACACTATATTATTTCCCTGTGTTATGTACATGATATTCTTGATTTTTATAGATCAAAAATGCTCACAGAGGTTAAGTGATTGCTTCATATCATGCAGCAAACTAATAGCAAATCAAAATTTGAATTCAAATCTGTCTTCAAAAGCCTAACCCCACATCCCTGGTTTGTGGTCCTTGTCCTGCCACTTATGACCTAAATGGCTGTGAACAAGTAATTTAATCTCTGTGACTCTTGATTTTCTCATCTGTAGATTTAGGATGAAGGGTCTTCTAATTTCCTGAAAGTATTGTGAAGTTTTAATATAACCTGTGTGAATGTTACTTGTCATTTTTAGAAGGCTCTATAAGTTTGTTATTATCCTAAGTTCCTATAATATGTTTGAAACCTTCTTTGTATTTCCCTAAAATAGAAATGAAGAGGATAAATATCTAATAATGATACTTGGACCAATAGTGAAACATTTTTATGAAATGTGAACTTTCCAGCAACCTTTGAATTCGCATCTTATTAGAAGTCTTTTACTTCATATGCTCATATCTGTCTTAATTTGTTGCAAGAAGTACTTCTCTATTTTTCTCATTGTATTCATTTTTGAATATACATGTACAGTAAGAGTTTTTAAAACAGTTTTGATTAGAATAATGCTACAATGACTTAGCTGAGGTTTTTAAATCTCTTAATCATGATTTAAAAAAAATACATCTGCATAAACAGGGAAATTTTGTTTTTCCATTGAATTACAGAAAGGGAACACAAATTAAAAAGTCTTGGATAAACTCCTCTTAGTAGAATGCCCACTGAGTTCCCTATGAATCTCTATCAATTGTGATGCAGAGATCTGGTTTTCAATGTTTGAAATACAAAGCTATTACAATAATGCTGAGATGGTTTTAGGCTTAGGAGTTGGATGGTCAGAGGTGGAAGGACCCTAAATAAACGTAGACTCTAATCTCCCTTCATTTAACGGGCAAGGGACACAGGGCCCAGAATTATTTGTTGTTTTTTTCTGGTTCATATTTAGAACCATGTCTTTGAATATCCACCCCAATATTCACTTTTTTTCACTAAGCTAAGGTTCACTTTTTTTTTATTAAGAAATATACAAAAAGCTGTAATCAGTCATCTGTGAGCAGTGTCCTCTTGGTACATCACCTGTCTATGGATTCTGCCTCTACTAAGCCAAGGCTTCCCTGTCACTCAGAAGAGGTGCAGACAGCACATCATCACCGTCTGGTTAAATGTTCTCAGGATATAGAAACAAATCGTCAGTACCAAAATGAAAACA